TAGGAGAACTAGCAAGGAGGACGGAGATAGACGCTCAGAGACTCTTGAGGGGTGTTGATCAGGAGACATTGGCTAGGTTTGGGACTGCGATCTGTCTCAAGGATAGAGGTCCTGTCACGAGTGTACTGCAGATCCGAAGAGGCACGGCCTTGTTGGCCGATCCCGAAGGAGAGGTTTACTTAGACACAGGGATTCTTGAGATAGAGGGAGAGCACGAGATCTGCGACCGGTGCGGGATACTGGAAGTGATAATCAAGGCAGTCGAGAGCTAAGATTGGAGGCGGATGCGAGCCGTGACAAGGAAACAGGTTCGGGCTGCCGCAACTGTCACAGGTCCGGGCTGCAGCGACTGTTATAGGGTCGGGCTGTAACAGTTGGCAAGAGTACCTAACTGCGTCTTCTGGCATTCCAATGGAACCCGACACAATGGGGCCACAACCGACCACGGGCGAAGCGGGAGAGGAGTACAGGACATCGCCCGATCGAGCTCTGAGGGATCTGAAGGAACGAATTAGGCAAGAAGCACCGCTGAGATGGGCTGACCAAACCAATGACGGAGGGCCCGACGTAAGAGGCGAAGCAGTTGCGACAGAGCCGCAGGAGGCTCTAAAGACGGGTACCTCGAGCGGACAACGAGAAGCGACGAGGCAACGCTCCCCCGTGTATGAGCGGAGGGACACCATAGCGGACAGGCGCAGAGACGACTGGAGAGAGAGTTTGAGGGATTCCTATTGGAGGGACAGAGACAGAGACAGGGCGCCGCCCAGGCGAGTCTTCGACCCCCAGACAGGGGAGTCACATCCGCTCCCTTACGAGAGCAAGGATCGCTATATTATTACGCACAAGGCCTCAGAGCCTCCTACCTTCAGGGGCTATGGTATCACACAATATCTGGAGAAGTGGGAGYTTCACGCCAGCCGGAGTCAGTGGTCGGAGGAAGAGATTATAGAGAACTTCCTATTTAATGTGGACCCAAGTCTCGGTAGGGAAGTCAAGGAAGCTCGACCGAAGGATGGGAAATGGACTACGTACAAGAAGAACCTCGTTGAGYTTTACAAATTGGAGGATAACAAGTATTCCATCAAGGACCTTGAAACAATGACTCAAGATGAAAATGAGAGCGTACRGGCATTTGGGATGCGTTTCCAAAAGATCTCCGACGTGCTGATGAAGAAGGGGAAGATCTCAGAGGTCGAGCGTTGTACTATCTTCATCGGACACTTATCCAAAGGTAGGCAAAAGAATACACTTAGAGATCTTCCGCGCGACAGGCTTGAGTTCCCAGAAGTCCTAAAGCTCGCGATAAAGGCAGAGGCAGACGATTACAAGGACTTGGTGTGGAGAGGGATGAGGAGACGTGACTTCTCTCTCTACAAGGAGTATGCCACTGATAAATGTCCTCATTTCAAGGACTATCCCTGGTCGGAGAAGAATGAGGCCGTGGCTGAGGAAGTGACGGAGGTACGGGACATGGTGAAGGGATTGACGAGACAGGTTACAGAGATTGTGACCACTACAGGGGCCACGGCCTACCGGGACAAACCTGGAGGGCCCTATCGTAGGAACAACGATTCCTAGAGGAGTGTCGAGGATAGAAATCCTCGGACGCTGACTGATTATCGTACGAGGGGAAGAGAGGGAGACAATGAGCCATGGCGACGTAGGGACGATGAGATAGACCGAGACCGCAGAGATCGCGAGCCATTTGCGCGAGCAAGGAGGCTGGATGATTACCCGCGAAGCCCTCGCTATGAGGCCGATCGGGGTAGAGGCGACTCCCGCGGCCGATGGGAGACAGATSAGGGCCGACGAGATGGATATAGGGACGACAGATACGAGAGATCGGACCGAGATGGATATAGGGACGACAGATACGAGAGATCGGACCGAGATAGATATAGGGACAACAGATACGAGAGATCGGACCGAGACGGATATAGGGACGACAGATACGAGAGATCGGACCGAGACGGATATAGGGATGACAAATACGAGAGGTCGGGTCGAGATGGCTACAGAGGTGGTAGGTATGAAAGAGGAGATTGGGACTGGGAACGACGAGATGGGTCGCGCGAGGGAGATGCGAGAGAGCACCGCAATGAGTCGCGGGGGTGGTACAACCGAGGGGACAACGCGATGAGTCACAAGGGCGATATGACTCAGGGGACCACCGGAATGATTCGCGAAGGCAGTATGAGCAAGGAGGGTCTGGAGGAGACCGCCGCAACGATTCGCGCGGTCGGAATGAGAGAGGTGGATATGGCGTCTCATTAGAACCATATCCCAAGTCGCCTAACCCCAAGGCAGCCAGGAGTTCGATCTCGAGAAGCGCAGACGACAGGCCATCTACTCCCAGGAACTCATGCGTYTACTGTAGAGGAGAAGATCATATCAAGAGGGATTGCCCGGACCTCAAACGGGCAATAGATGAGGGACTTGTCGTGCTTGACGACCGCAAGTACGTCAAGTGGGCAGATGGTCTGGTAGATGTATCGATGTTCCCTTCGATGAAGCAGAATGTCGAAGCGAGGAGAGTAAAGCCGAGTAAAGAAAAGGAGCCGGTTAGGAGCCAGAGCATCAAGATAACCTTTGAGGGGGATATGGCGACCANCGAAGCGAGGAGAGTAAAGCCGAGTAAAGAAAAGGAGCCGGTTAGGAGCCAGAGCATCAAGATAACCTTTGAGGGGGATATGGCGACCACACCCATAAGGGTGGCAGCCACCAAGTCGGCGAGAGGGTCTACATCGAAGAAGACTGACACGGATTACGTGATGACGGAGAAGGACGGGCAGCGGGTCGATGGAGAGGAGGTTATCCTTTCGTCGCGAAAGAGGGGAGTGAAGAAGTTCTTAATGAAGAGTTCGTTGGACGAGATTGACACGGTCGAGCCACTGAGGCGGGCCCTTCAGCAACCCATGCAATGCTCTATTCTGGAGTACCTGGCGGCATCGAAGCCGGCTCATGATGAGTTACAAATGATCACGCGGAAGACTCGCATACCTCTATCGGAGGAGGGTCAATGGCCCCCTAAGGCGGAAGCTCCTACAGTAGCAGTAACGGGGGTGACTGCCAGAGCGGATCGCATGGCGACAGTCCTTCTTGATGGAATGGAAGGTGTGCCTCCAGACAAGCTTTATATACTTGGTAGCGGGGCCGAGGAGACGATTATAAACGATGGAGCGATACTCGATGCTGTGATCCATAACGGCAGTGAGGCTGTCATCATAGACGAGGACCTGGCAATACAGGTTGGACTGGGCCTCGATAGGTCATACCTATTTGAGATAGAGACGGCTGATGGGAGAAAGCAACAGATCACTGGGGTTTGTTACAAGGCAGCCATTGAGGTCCAAAGGGTACGAGTGACCCTGCCTGTCTTTGCAGTCAAGAATTGCAACTCTGACCTGCTCTTGGGTCGAACGTGGCTGAGCCACGTGCATGCGGTGACGACAGAGCGACCTGATGGGAGCCAAACATTGTCCATTAGGAAGCCAGTCGGGACGCGGGTAATGATTGAGACAGTGGAGCCTCGGGACCCGAGGAACATAGCAGCTCTCGCTGTGGGTGCGAGACCCAGTGAACAGATTAAGTCGTTACCTATCTCCGGCCACGCGGTGCGATTTCACGAGAAGAAATATGGACCACTGCTCACAGAGGAAGAAGGTCGGATCGTGGAGGTGGAAGATTTAGGGAGTCGGCTAATAGTGGACGGCAACTCGTACCCAACGAAAAAGATGAGGAATTTGGCGGTGTGGTATCCGTGTCTTTTTTAAGGGCACGGCCCCCTATGGG